CAAGCTATCCAAGGATGGTACTATAGAATGTCACCTCAAGGTAGGCCTAGTGGCGTCATCTCTTGGTTAGGCCGGAAACTTATCAATCCACCCTCGTATTGCATAGGTAGATATGCCAATGATAAAAAATGCGGATTTAATTTGAAATACCAAAGTCGTAGCTATAAAACATGCCTGAACAGTAACACATACATATATCAACTACAGATTTAAAACAACGAAACAAAAAATTAATTTTTTTAAACACATGGATGGTATTTATCAACAAACAAGACCTGTAATGCATTTGCTTTTTTTTAAGAGAAATTAAATATAATGGAACCGTTTTCCATAAACCCATTTCACTCCTTAAAAGCAGTGCTTTGAAAGAGATGTTTCACATACTACAAGTTGTCAATTAATTCCGTTAGCATATTTCTTTCTTTTTTAATCTTCCTTATCTCTCGAAAAATTGCACACCAGCCGTTCAGAAAATACAATTTAAATAATATAAATAATATTTTCAAACTCGCAAGTCCTTCTAATCCACTTGTTCCTACAACACCAACAAGAAACGATGCTTATGTTATCCAATAGGTGAATAACTCCTTCGATCGATCGACTTCATGATATTTTCTTTTTTAAAATACATGACTAATTGGAATAAAAGTTGCAAATAAGCATTATTTTAATTATCACCGTTCTATTATGCGAATTATTCTTCGTTCGGCGCCACTGGCGCAAGTGAAGGCATCGTTGGCGTGGCTGTAACACTCCTCCAACAACTTGATCTCGTACAGCAAAGGAGTCATAAAATAAACGTTGGACATTTAATTACAGCCGTAAACCAATCCCGAGGTCGCTTTGTTACGCCAACTTTATGGCTTTATTATGATATCTTAAATTAATATGAAGCCATCGCGATCCCTTCGCTTATTTTCTCTCCGCGAAAAGAGAGAAAGACGGCGCAAGAAGTTCGAGAACCGCAAGCTACGCCAAGTCAACTGAGACGGCGCGGTTGCGATAATTTCGTCTTCTTTTTTTTTGTTACGGAAAAGTTTGCCTGCAGTTTGTTTGTCTGTCTGGTCGACATGGTTTGTTTTACGATGGGAATAACGATTATTTCCCGTAGGAGTGAACCACAGAAAGATAGATACGAAATGAGAAATGGCATCAGATTTGCTCTAAGTACGTTGTATCCGCAGACAACTTAATTTTACGCCTATTGAGTGGCGGTTTGTGGCGAAGTCGTAATTTATGCAATCGCCACAAGGCAATAATTGGAAAAAAGTGAAAGCTACCATAAGTGCAGAGATAAAACTAACACGACCCTGATGAGACGATTGGCTCTGCAAGGTTTCAACGTATTTACTTTGCGCAATATCACTGACCCCTTAGTGATAAAAGATGAAACGATAAGTAAATTAATTCAGAGTAGTTTTTTGTTTTATCGTGGTACCCTATATTAAACAAGACCATAGTAATTGACTTGAAATCCTACCTGTTATTGAAGCATAGTCGCAGCTGCACTTCCTCATCTTCCCTTAGCAGTAAGACGAAGAAGAGGAGTTGATGCTGGTTCAGTTCGGATCAACTTGACCGGCGGCCGCGGCAGCCGCCGCTGCTGCTTTTTGCGCCTGTGCCTGCTTTTCCTGCTCGTTGAGTTCCTTGATCGCCTGGATTTCTTTTTTTAGTTTCATCCGTCGATTTTGAAACCAGATTTTGATCTGTCGTTCCGTTAGACAAAGTGCGTGCGCCATTTCTATACGTCGCCGCCTTGTCAAGTAATGATTCGTGTGGAATTCCTTTTCCAGTTCTAGCGTTTGATACCTGGTGTACGTTTGACGACCTCGCCTCCTCAAACCATTCGCTCCTGGAAGAAAGAAGAAAAAAATTAGTCAATTGTGAACAGAGTTCAAAGTAAAATAAAAGAAAGGTAATCGCTAAATTTCCCTCGTTAGAATAGACATTGACGTATACAGAGTGAGACAAAAGTGACCTATGATGACAGAAGTGGAATAGACATAGAAAAATGGGAGTTATAAGGATGATAAGGCAGTTTTTAAACATGATGTAGGTGAAAGGAGGAAGGTTTGCAAACGATTTCTGGTACTTCCGGGGGATTTAGGGAACTAATGCACATCAGTTATTTAAGAGAGATGATGTTTAAATATTCAGGAATAGCGCCAATTTTGATTAAATGTTGAAGATATTTTGATGTCCTACATCCCACTACCTAATGGAGATTTTAGGATAATCATAGTAATCAACAAGTTTCTGCATCAGGAAAGAAAGGATCGCAAGAGAGTCCTTACCGTTTCCTTGAAAGATCATAGTTTCTCTTAGGGTACTATCGGAAAAAGAAAGAAACAAAACCGCACACGAGTTTCAAGCCGAATCACAAAATCCTTTCACGAGAAAATGAAATCTAAAGAACGCACTGTACGCGGCCAGGGACTGTAATGGGGTCCAAGAGCAAGTCTTCGTGGTCTCCAGGTAGTTCGTTGTCGTAGGCTTACGACCTCTGATTGGTGCAGGTAGTTGTTGCCCCGTAATCTCAGTCGACGTGTTGGCTGACGGTGATTTACGACCCAAGGAAGAAGGGGGGCATCGCACTAAACGACGAGGAAGATCGCCGTTCCCAATGCCGGTGTCAACGTAAAAGAAGTACAACTGGCTCTCAGAAATGGAAGAGAAGAACGAACGAAGAAGCGTAGGAACCATGATGTCGTCACACGCCAACGGCACCCAAGATGACCGCACCCAAGGACGACCAACGAAAGAGCATAACTTCTTTTCGTAATATGCCAATGATCAAAGAAAGTAAGATGGAACACGTGGATTTTCTCAAACGAAAACGCACCAAAAAATATCTTGATTTCTTCTTTTATTATTCTTTGATTAACACATTAGCATGCTTATTTATTATATTGCAGTACCTTTAGACAACGGAAGGATTGAGAGATGAATATTTAAGGAGATTACAGGGACTATTTACTTTCTCCCCTGATTCCCTAATGTCGAGATAAGTAAGAATTTGGTAAAATTGTGAAGATTTGGAGACATGCGAACTCCACACAATTTATTTTCTTAGTTTATTACCGATTTTTGCATTATCTTCTACTTGCACTTACGTTTTCATAAAGGTGACTTCCAATCTCGTAAATTACATTTTTACCGGATATCTGATGATTATATAATAATTCATGCATTATGCAAACAAACAATGAATCACATTTAACAATATTTACCAAGAGAGGATGAGAGGCTTGTATAATGTTCAATTTCATACATAAAACTTTTTGGGCTTTCACCACCATTCACAAATCTTCGGCTTTTGGGGGGTTTTACAGTAACACATACTAAAAATGCAAATATAGTAAGATCAAAATTTACCCCAGCAACTAGAAAAGTGAAAAATGAATGATAATTTTCTCGCAAACCACTAAACCGATTCTTATGATTTTTTTTTTAATATAGCGTACTTATTTAGTAATGAATCATCATCATCAACATAAGACTGATTGGACACGCACCTCCTGACGTAGTCTTTATATTTCCCTAAAAAGTAACGTCCCACATACTTAACTATTTGTGAACAACAATTTAATCTAAATCTACCATTACCCCTGTTAACTTTTCAACTTCCAATATGTCTCTAAGTAGCCCTTCATGCTTGAGAAATTATCCCGCTTATTTATTATTGACTTCCACAGCTCCAAAAGAAGGTGTGCTCGAAATACTTTTTGAATTCGGTGTTGAATGTTTTACGAATGATGATTTTTACTTGAAATTTACGACACCCTGTGGGTATGAGATGCTATTGTTCAATCAGCCGAGATGTCTTTATCGACATCGGAATTTAACCCCATCTTTTCGGAACATTTTGTTTTTTAAATCGCGTTATTATCTTTGTTAATAAAGCATTCCAAACCAGTGAAGATAACGCCATGGGAAATAATGGCAACCTATAAAAACAGCGATTGTTGGTCGGTTTTTTTAATTGATTCAATAGATTATCAAGCGTATCTTAATAATGTTACGCGTAATGCTCACATATGCTTGTCTACTGTAAGAAGACCACAATTGTTTCATCGAAATGACCAGTCTTCAGTGTCTCAATGTCTACTTCGACCAATAAATATTCTCATATTATACGAACAATAACATCTTGCATCTACCTGTATCAAAAAGAAATTATTGCCGATGTATGGCGCGAATGGGATAACATCCTGGGATGAAATTGACATGAAATCTTAACGAATTGACTTCGAATTTATGTCGGGTTCCCATCAGTAAAATCAACAAACTGGGACAAATAGCTAAAAAAACACCAGATTTTTGAGATAAAAATTCAGACATTGATCCTGAAAATTTTTAATCTCAGAAATGCAGACAAAAGTTTCTTGGACTAGGAAAAATCCGCCGAAATCTGGACGGATGATAACCCTAAATTTAAATCACTTTTCCAGTGGCCCGTTAACGTTACCGTCTAGTTTCTAGGCGTCAGTAATAGTAGTCAACCGTTTCTTAGAACTAAATGTACATGCAATAGATCGGAATGAGAATCTCGACGGCTGGACGAAGAAAAAACTGTTGTAATACGATGGTAGATGCTACACACGAATGTTACGATAGATGACGATAATGGCCGTGCCCAAGGCCATTCGAAGGATAACTCATCCCGACGAAATAATTCAAAGGAAAGACAGCAGGCAAACTATAGCCTTACAGGCGAGGTGTAGCTGGTACCGAATGCGTCGCAACGTGCTAGGCTATTAATCACCTCTTTTTGGACCAACAACGTACCTTGTTCGAGTTATAAATGGCGCTGTTTATCGAAATAATAAATAAATCTCGGAAGACAACGACAAAAAAATAAATAACGACGGCCACACGATAACAACGCCAAAGAACAAACGAAGGAGATAATGTTGCGAGTTGATTCGGTGGTGCGAGGGACTGGGTCGAAATAAAAATCCCGTATGGGCGGATTGTGTCTGCACTGATAGGGTGCCCATACCTGTTATTTTTCGAATGAATGCGGTAATCTGATTCAAAAGGGGGTGTTTTTCAAAACGAATGTGAAGATCGTTGTCCACAATCAGAAGAAAAATGTATGTATAGCCGCCTCACTGCTTTTAAATGTAGAGACTGAAAAACAAAAAAATTGGAATAGTTAGGTAATAGATATCTTGATTTTTTCATTAAGAGTAGGTAACTGAAAAAGAATATCTATTTTTTCT